CTACGAAATACTTTTTCTTTTTAGTATGGTACAACTTTATTAATTGACCGACCAATTTCATGTGGTTCACATGCATTTGGCTCGATTGTCGTGGGGGCGGAATCTTCGAAGTAGCTGCCAAATTTCCGCGATTAACGTGCAATTGGGTCGATGTTGGTTAGAAATTTCGAAGTAATTTTTTTTAAAACAATTATTATTATTATTATTTTAAATTTATAAATTAATTGAGGATAAAGAAAAAGATTTTTATGAAATTCCAAAGTTCAATTCAAGAAGTAAACAATTTTAATTTAAGATTTAACGTCATTATATTGGAGCGAGTTGTTCTTTTCAAAACAATTATAATTTTTGAACAATCTGACCAAGAATATTGTAAGAAATTTTTGTATTTAGTTATATAGGTGATAAATAATTATATTTTTACTAATTTTATACGCCAGGTTTTATAATTTTGCCTTTCGAAGAATGAAAATATTTTAATTTTAATATTATGAAATATTAAAATTTTATAATACAATATATTATTATATAATTAATATTTTAAAAAATTATTTATAATGTTATTTACATTTATTTATTTAATATTATATTATATTATATTTATTTTATAATTATAATTTTATAATTTTATGTCGTTTTATAATTATAATATTATTATTAAAGAATTTTTTTTCTAAACTCAAAATACAAATTAAGTTACGTTATTTATACTTTTTTCACAATGAGCTTTTATAGAGAAATATAAAAATAAATATTATTTTTAACATTAATGTCACTTAAATAATTTAAATTGAGTAATTAATAAATTTAAAGTTAATTTTTAATTTTTATATAAATTAATTATAAAAAATATATAAAAAATATGTTTTTAACATATACTTTTAAAATATATATTAAAAATTTTCTTTAGTAAAAAATAATAATTTTTTATTTTAGAATACAATATAAAAATAAAAATTACAACTAGAAGACATTCATTAATATTAAGAACCTTTTAGTATCATTTAATCATTTATATTGTGTATAATATTTTTTTAATAAATGGATAAAAATTTACTCTTTATTAATCTGGTGTAAGAAATAATGACCATTAATTATGAGAAAGACGGCTCTACATGGGTCCTCCAATATAATTAAAATTCTATAGTCCAAGAACAAAAGTACCGCGTAATATAATTCTAAATATGAGAAATAATTAGCAATGCAATATTAATTTAAGTAAAAAAATTACTTTTCTTTAAGTATTATATTAAATTTATATCTTATAAATGAAAAAATAAATACCAAAATAATTTTTCTTTTTATGAGACTTAATATGGCTTAATTTTAAATTAATTAAAATTTAATAGAATTTTTAAATATTGTGTATTAATTCTAATAAAATTTGATAAAGGAATTACTACAACAGTATTAAAAAAATAAAAAAAAATTTTTTTATTTAATTATTAATTTAAAAAAGACCTCTTAATATTTAATACCAACTTACCTATTGATTTTTTTGGTTTCTCGTCCAATATCTGGAGTTTCACTTCAATTAATTCAAACTCGACTTGCATCGCGTACCTAAAAATAGTAAATGAGTCTCCTAATAAGTACTACCATGTGCACAAAATTTTATTTAAACTGAAACAAATCACTTACCATTTGATCTAACCCATCATCGGTAACTCACCTACTTATGAATAAAAGTAATGCCAGTCCTCAGAAGATGTTCATAAGGTTTGCGACACTGCAGCATTTTCTAGGTACTAATGGGAAAAAAAAGAGGAGGTACTGCTACGGTAAAGTAAGATGGTTACAGTGACTTCCTTACTGGTGGTACTTAACAAAAGTCGAGAAAAAAAAAAAAGTATCACTACTATGACTTTCAATTCTGACTTCTGTAGGACTCCGCAAAGTCGAGAAACTATGTGATCTAAATTCATTCCATTCGAATGAAATCAATTGATTTTTTAACTTTCCCACGTGACCAAAGGTAAAGGCTGCAAATTAAGGGAATCTCTTTTGGAAAGAAAAAGCAAAAGGTAATAGATTGGGTTGTTGGCTTGAGGAGTAATGATGATTTTATGTTAAAAGTTTAAATTATTATATTATTTTTAAAAGTAAAAATAATAAAAATTAAATTAACAATATAAATTTATTTAAATCCCTTCATTATTATTTAGGTATAAATCATTTTGAATGGATTACGTCCCCTCTCCCTTTACTTGCGAAGACTTGCTCAGTGCATGTGAATGAGGTAGTTTGCAGGAATTTGTAAGTTCAATTTAAAAAGAATTTCAGGCCAATTATCTTCATGGTTCAATGGATGGTTCAATGGTAAGTGCTCAATAGTGTGACCCTTAAGTTTTGATTTTGAGTCCAATTACTTATATTAATCTTTCATCTCCTAATATTAAGTTGTATAGTGATTGACTTATTCCAAAAAAAAAAAAATCTAAAAGAATTTTAGATACTTATATTATCTCAAACAACAAAAGGCAAGTCAACCCAAATATATTGACAATTTTTAATGAGGAGAAATTTACATATACATAAGTTTTATGTATAATAATTACATAAAATTTTAAATATTTATTTTTTTACATTCAATT